GTTCAGAGCGGGGCCCCCCCGGGCGGGGGGGGGGGGGGGGTGGAGAGCTCACTTGTAATATACATACATTGCTTGCACAGCACCGAGACAGCCATTTCCATGAGGATATGAAGAGGAAAGCTAGCAAAATGTAAAGTTTATGTGTTCATATACAGCAACTGCATATTCCTGCTTCATGAACACTCGCTGTACATTGCTGCCGTATTTTTTTTAAATACCTCAGCAAAGGTGAAAATGGGCTTTAAAAACATTTAGACTTTAATATCACTTTAAGCTGCTTTAGGGTGGGGACTCATGTGTCTCAATAAAATAATCAGGACATCCAGAGTGCCCTGAGGTGAGGTTGGGTTTGTGGCCTTTGATTCGGGGGGGTATTTAAGTACCACCTCAGCAAGGGGCTGGTGCGGTGTCTTCAAGCCACCTTTCTGCATGTGCAAAAGAGCTTTAACACTACTATTGTTTCCTGTTTGCTGACCCATACCGTCTGACCACTCTCTGCTTGCCGCCTGCCCATATCTTCTGCCTGGACGCTACCTTGGATTTCCTCTCCTTCCTTATCTACTAAGTGCTCATTGCAAACCTTGGACCGCCTAAACACTCTGCTAGCCTCCTGCCTGGATCAGACTACGTTTTCGTCTCCTATTTTGATCTTCTCTCTACTGGCTGCAGTCCCAGACTGTCCGACCATTCTCTGGTTATCTTCTGTCGGAACCTCTGTCTTGTCCTGATCATGCTCTGGAGTATTGTCTCCTCATTGGAGCCCTCCTGTCCTTGTCCATTCCTTGGCAGGGCGATCCTGGTGACCGCGACCTGGTACCAGCAAGCAGCTAAGCCCATCTCCACCATCAGTAGCTCTGGTGAAAACCCACTGGTGCTTAGACTCTATTCCTCAGATGAGCCCGTGCCACCTGCCAGGGGGGTGTCATTATAATCCACATTAAATGTGTTTCTAATCAATGCAGCAAAAGTTCTCATCCACTGCTTCTTTTCTATTGGCTGAATGTTTCCAATAGGATTCCTCTTCTTTGTGATGTCATCAGCCTCTGAGCAGATTTCTAACGCTCAAATAATTTCTCATAGGGTAATATTTACACCTTTGAGAGTTTTATGGAAAGCATTTTTAAAGCGCGGGTGTATGACTTACCCATCATCCCCATGGAAACTGCGTTTTGTTGGAAACCACACCAACAATGCAGCAATCAGGGAGTAAATATCTAACTACTGCTTCCCCCACATAGCTTTACAGAACCGTTCCATACACCCAGCACGACATGAAGAGGCTCAGTGAAGGTGGCGGTGAAGGTGTGGAGGTGTCTCAATGTATCACACAGGGAATAGAAGGAAATCCGCCCGGCCTCATAATCCAGACAGATCCTGACTCTATCACTGGAGATATCATCAGGTAACTGTATCCCCTTACTGTCATGTACCACTGAGTACTGATTTAAATGCCTGTAAAATCCCCAGGACTTATTATTATCCCCAATCCGTGACTTAGCTCCTGTCCTATCCATACTGGGGTAACACATTCCAACCCTCCAGCTGACTGATCTCCCAACATCCACTTCCCAATAATGTTGCCCTGAGGAAAATCTCTGACTGCTGCGCACATGAGAATTATACTGAAACCTCTCTGGTGTGTCTGGGCGATTCTGACTTATATTTGACCAGGAAGCTGTTTTCTTGTCATCAGATATCTGTAGACTATTATGAGCCGTGTTTACATCCAGTGTTATGTCTGCGGCCTTCTGTACATAGAAGCATACATTTGTCCCTTTTATTATATCCGATAATGTGTTGAACATGTGTGACATCCCAGCCACATCCAGATCTTCTCCTTCATGGAGGAGTCTATCATGTCTCTCTCTCTCATTATCTCCATCCTCGGGATCACACAAGTCCCCTGTGTCTGATTCCTGTAAGACGGTCAGTGGATCACTCTTGTTACACAGCTCCTCAATGTGACCCATCTTCTTGGACAGCTCGTCCTTCTTTATTTCCAGCTGTCGGATCTGATTGGACAGAGAAGATGAGATCTGCTCTGCCTGACTAGAGCTCTTGCTCAGGACTCTCTTCTGCAGGTCCTCCAGTTGTCTCCTGAGGTCTCTGAACAGGGCAGTGACTCTCTTTATCTCACCAGCTGCTTTTCCTTGTACTTTCCTCCTGTGTTCCTGCAGACTCTGGACTCGTTTCTCCATCTCCTCCGTCTTTGTCATCAGCTTCTGGAGAACATTTCTCAATGTCTTCTTCTTCATGTCAGAGGCCACTTCCAGAGTCTCCATCTGGTGTCCCCGATGTTCTCCAACCAAACTGCACGACACACAGACACAGGCCGCGTCCTCAGTGCAGTAATACTTCAGTTGTTCCTTATGGACGGAGCATTTCCTGTTCTCCAGGGAAGTGGCGGGGTCACATAAGACATGTTCTGGTGACTTGTTGTGGGCTCCTAGATGATTATCACACAGATACGCTTCACAATGTAGACAAGATTTAACAGCAGGTACTGGAGAGTGAATACAGTAGGTACAGACCTTCCCAGATATCTCCTGATCTGGTTGAGTAGACAGGAAATTATCCAATATGTTACGTAGTGTTATGTTGCGGTGCAGTGCAGGACGCTCAGGAAATTCCTCTCGGCATTGAGGACAGCAATAACCTCCAGACCGCTCCTGTGTGTCCAGCAAACAAGTAATACACTCCCGGCAGAAGTTGTGTCCACATTTCAACATTTGAGGATCCATATAAATGTTCAGACAGATACAACATTCCAGCTCCTTCCTTAGATCAGGAGACGCCATCTCTGATAGAGGAAAAGAGAAATTCATGTGAAAGTCTCATACTGACAAAAAATGGAACATTGTAATATACAGACAGAAGAACATCAGACAGAAAATTGCATCGCTGTAAAACGCTGAACCCAAATCCAGACACAATGTCATTGGATTAAATATTTTAAGGAGAGTCTTTATGGAAGCTTTGGGGTCGGCTTTCTTCAACCTGTTTAAAAAACTGTTATCTTTGTTCCACCAGATAGGAGAGCTACCACTGCACCTCTAGCCCACTGCAGGTATCACTACTGGACATTCATGACCACTGGAGTTGTGTTTAACCCCCCCCCCCTTCCCCCCTCCCTTTTGTTCATTTAAAAAACATACACCCACATGAAGTGCTTTGTCAATGGCCAAGTTAAGAGGGGATGTAGACAAGAAGATTTGGAGATTACAATCTATTAGGGTACAATTCCCTAGCTCCTCCCCTTCTGTATCCTACCTTATACCCTAATAGAGTGTAAGCTC